CACCCTGCTAGCCTGCTGCCCCTCCCTCCCCCAACAAGCCCAGAGACTTGCCTGCCCTGACAGGAGCTGTTCCTGCTCCCACCATGGTGCCACCCCTCCCCCACCACACACGCACAGAGGCACAACATGGGCAGGAATTTCTCCTCCACCTGTGGAGAATCCTTGGGAAGAAGAAATAGTCTAATCAGACATCTTGTATAAGTGGGGAAACTGAGGCCAGAGCCAGGAGAGTGGCTTCCCTAAGGTCACACAGCACATTCCTGCAGGGCTGGGACTTGGGCCTTTGTTTCAGGTCCACCAGTCCACTCTTCCCACCTCTTTTAAGTCACTTTCCACACTAACAAAAGCAGGGTGCAGTGGAGAAAGAGGGGAGGCCGATTTTGTGGCAAGTAAGCTTGAGGGGTGACTTCTGGACAAACTTGGGGTTAGAGAGGCAGGGACCTGGAGGGTGGGGGGCAAGATCCAATTGGGGGGGCAGTAAGTCAGGCCTCACTTCCTCGAAGCCAGCTAATGGCGCCACCCAGAACCACAGTAATAGATTATGCAAAGAGACCCCTGCCCTGACCTCCCTGTCTTCCTCCCTGGACTCAGGGACCAGGACTCAGAGGGCCCCCTGGCCTGGTACATTAGTCCCCTCTTCCTCAGCCCCATCCCACGGCCACCAGGGAACTGAGGGTTGAGATCCCTGAATATTTCATCAGCACTTCAGCCTCTAGTTGCAGAAGCTGCCAACTTACAGCTCATGGATAATTTATGGCCCCAGCAGAGAACCTGGAACTAGTGAGGCGGAGGGGCTGGGCGGGTGGGGGAAGGGGACGCATGGACTGGGCTGTTGATAAAGGGTGTTGGAGAGGAGCCTGCTGGATCCAAAGTTTGGATGAGTTGGGAGGAAGCTCCAACACCAGAGACATTTCCATGTTCAAGTACCAATGTATTTATTTATTTATTTATAATTGCTATCAGAAATAATTATGCTAAAGGTGAAAGTCATTTGACAAGCATTTTCTGACTTCAGTCCTATCACTGTGTCCCTGTGTGTATGTATAATCTGATTTGGAGATAACCTGAAAATATTTAAATGGGAGATGATTTACGGCTGAAAGGCCCCCAGGGCTGAAAGGCCCCTGCTCTCCACACTTGCTGAGCCAGCAGAGAGAGGCAAGAGTCTCTATTTAGAGTGGCTAAGCCCCACCCTTGCCCCTTCCCAGCCGCCTCCTTCAGGAAGGCCACAAGGATTTAGTCAGGTGGTTAAGGGAAAAGGAAGGAATCCCTTGTTCATCCCTTACTTTCCTCCAGGAACACAAACCACACTCTTCTAAAAGGAAAGACAGAAAAGGTAACCCCAGGTGGAAAATGTCAAGTGTGGGTGACAACCCTTAGTGAGCTCTACTGAGTCAAAGGAACAAGTATTTGTGTGTGGGGAGGATGGGTACCCTCCCCCTTACCTCAGTATCCCCACCTGCATCATGGTATGAGAGACACTCCCACCCCAAGGGCTGTTTAGGGACAGAAGAGCAGCTATCTGGGCACCCTGGCGCCAGCTGGGACCCAGGCAGGAGGTGATTATGGGGTGATGTGTTCACAGGTCGGGCCTGAGGTTCAGGCTCAGGCTGGGTCGGGTGGGCCGCCCAGGCCCCCAGCACACTCTGATCTAATCCCTGTGCCATCTTGGAGCTTGATCGTGGGAAGGAAGCAGGGCAGGGCTGTGTCAGGAACTCAGAGTGAGCCCTGGCCCTAGGGGAGCAACCCAGCCTCTCTAGGCCTCAGTTTCCCCATCCATGAAATTGGGGCCATCTGCCAGGCCTGTCCTTGGAGAGAAGTTGGAAGGACAGGCCTGGATGAAGCCCTCAGAGTGGGGAAGCTGTGGGGGCTTAAGCCCTGGGGCTGCTTGAACCTCCCCAGTCAGGCTGGGCTATTGGCCTCTGCCAGCTGGACACATCTTTCTAACACGGGCAAGGGACTAACTACTCTGTCCCCAGGGGAGACTCTAGTCTCTCAGAAACAGGGAGCACCAGGGAAAGACTTCAACTGTTTCTGAAACCTAAGGAAGGAATTTCTTCCTATGGAATTTATTGAGCGCCTGTGGGACTTCCCCGTCTCCTGCCCCCACCTCTCAGGATTCAGGGAGGAGCTGGACTAAGTGACCCCAGCAAGTCTGTCTCAGACTTCCTAACATCCGGCCCAATCCAAAGGAGCTAACAATGTGGGGAGGGGAGGGTGGGGGCTCTGGCATCAGACCTGAGAGGGTGCATGCCTGCCCACTCCCCTCCTTCCCTCCCTCTCTTCCTTCCTTGTCAGCTCCTTGCTTCCCTCAGTGGGCTGTGGCACTGAGGACTTCGTCCATACCCCAGTCCCCACCTTCCTCTCCCAGTCTCCAGCTGACAGCCTAAGGGGACAAGGCCAACAGCAGAGACCAGGGCATTCTATCCCTTCTGTGAGCAATAGCAAATTGGGGAGAATAGGTTCAAACCCAGGTTAGCCACCTTGAGGAATCTTGGACGCATTCCTTCTCATTCCCAGACTCACTTGTAACAAGGGCATGGATAACCTAGTTTTTCACATTAGAAATAATTTGTCCAGTGCCTGGCACATAGTCAGTACTCCATCCATTGCAGTAGTTATGCTTTCCCTAGGGTGGGATCTTTCTGGGCCCAGGACACTGCTGTGAAATCACTCCGAGTCTGGCCCTATGGTATGAAGTTTATTCCCAGTGGCCTTCTGGCCACGCCTAAGCTGCCCATTCTGCAGATGCTGGAGCTGTTGAGGTGCTGGGCAGGGCAGGGAGGTGGGCCAGGTGAGACAGAGATGAGGGCGGTGAGGGTGGCTGGGCTGGGAGGGGCTGAAAGACCGAGCTGGAGGGCCCACGCCAGGACTCAGGTCTCACCGGTTTAGGGAGCTGGCTGGGTAGTGGGGAGACGCTGGCATCAGAGAGAGGTGGGAGAGGCTGGCAGCTCCTTGGGAAAGAGGAGCTGAGTAAGGTACACCTGACTAGGCGGGGCCAGCTCAAAGCCTGGATGAGGACAAGGTGCCTGGAGAGGGGCTGGCTTTCTGTTCCCAGGGGATATCTCCCTCCCTCTTTCACACACAGACAACACACTCAGACACACACATCAAAACACTCACTTCAACTACAACCCCTGTGTTCTCCCTATCCCTTGTACCTTACGCTTATCTAACATAACCTCATACATTACTCATTAGAACAGTTCTTGTTTACTGCTTGTCTTCCCTCCAGAATACAAGCCCCACTATTGTATGCTCAGTACCTACACCGTGCCTGGCACATAGTAGGTGTTCATAATTACATGCTCAATGAGTGAATCCTATAGAAACTCACTCATGACATGCAGACCCGTGTGCAGAGGCATGCTCAGGCATCCATGAGGCTGCCACAGACACATGCACACAGGCACATGTTCACAGCCAGACTCACACACACACACTTTCAGACCCACGCCCAGCCATCCAGATTCCAAAGTTCGTGCTCACACCAGGCACCCGTCCGCACAGACACGCTTGGGCACATCCCTGCTCCCCACCCTCTGAAGTGCCAGCCCAGAAACAGAGGGGGAGGGCCTCACAGAAGCGACAACACAGCAGCTTAAAAGACCAGGGTGGGGCAGGGCCCCCTTGGCCTGGCCACTCAGGCACCTGGGAGCTGCTGGGAGACGCTCCCAGACTGTCAAGTTTCCTGGTGATCCGCCTCTGGGAGGGAGGAGGGAGTGAGGTCACCAGCAACCCCAGCCTTGACCCAGCCCCTCTCCAGACTCAGACTCTGGCCTCCCTAGAGCTCATCTCCACCAAAGGCCCAGAGAAGGCGCTCAGGGCAGGGCAGGGAGTCCTGGGCATAGAGGTGGGTGGGGCCCAGGCCAGGTCACCTGGCACATCATGGGGTGGGTTAAGGGTGTGGATGGTGAGAACTCAGCATACTGGCTTCGATGTCACCCTCCAGTGCAAAGATGCTTCAGCCGCCTGGGAGAAATGGGGCAGAACTATCACCGTAGGTCCAGAGAAGCCCCTTCTGCCCCTACCTCACTCCTGATATAGTCAGGTCCTGGAGAAAGGGGGTGCCGGTCAGTCAGGTTGCTGGCTGGTATCCACTGGGCACCACCCTCAGCCACACTTCTCTGGACTCTGCCCCACCAGAGCTGATGCAAGATTGGGCAGGAAGGGTCTGGCCACTCCCACTGCTCCCTAAGAGGTCTCAAGTAATTAAACCCTCTCCCTAAGATTCCTGTAGCTACTGGGGCAGGCTCCAGCCCCAGTTCTGAATGGGAGAATGGAAAGAAGGCACCCAAGGCTCTGTCTGGCCCTTCAGAATCTGGGCCAGCTACAGCAGCCCCAGAAGTCAGTGCTCTGGGCCCCCTCCCCACGTTCTGGTGGAGGGGCAGTAATGCTGACTAGGAAAATCCATTACATCTCACCACAGAATTCTGAAACCGCCATCCCCTTGGACTCACAAGGGAACTGGGTCCTTACGCCCCCTGGTGGGGATCTGCCATCCTGCACCACTTGCCCCCGTGCTCACACACTCACACAAACATCCGGTCCACAGAGGACCACGGGAGCCGCTGCACTGTGCCCTCCCCACACCAGCATTCTACAGGTAAGAAAAGATGGGTACAGAGGGAGAGAAGAACATGCAGTTCCACAACTCAGCCCGGGTGTTAGACTCCAGGTGCCGCAATTCATTCAACAACAAACGTTTATTGAGCACCTCTGCCAGTGCACCACGAACAGGTGGACGCCCGGCCCAGTGCTCTTCCACAACCCCAGAAACCCTCTGCTGTCTCTGCCATTTGGGTTGAGATGTCAACCAGGAGCTGGAAACTTCTCCAGGAGACTGTCCAGGTGGGGCAAGCAGGAGGTAGATGGCCCCCATTACCCACTGCTGGCCTGCAGGACCACCACCATCCTGTAGTCCAGAGAGGAGGCAGGGCAGGACCTGGGGAGGCCGCACTCAAAGATGGGATGGGATGGGGGCTGGTCAGCTGTGTCCACTTAAGTTTTTAAATAAATAGTTCCTGCTGCTGCCCAGGTTGAGGGAGAGGTGGCACCATTGCACCCAGGCTTCCTAAGCTCTTGAGAGGTACGGGACAGCTGCCATCTCATGCTGGTTCAGGCTCCAGCTCTGAAAAGGAGAGAGCACTGGAATTAAGTCCCCTGCCCACACCCAGCAGGTATCAGGGTGCTGTCTGGGATAGCGGGGAGAACGTGAGGCAGGCAGGCTCCAGAAACAGGACCATGCTCAGCCCAGCTCCAGGAAGGAGGACAGTGGTTGCTCACTGTTTGGAAGCCCCAGAAGAACACACACACACACACACACACAGACACAGCATTGACTCTTAGGTGAGTGGATCCACCTGTCCCAGCCTCCACCCTTGACCACATACTCACACCCTCCAGCAGGATACAAGTCACCTACCAGCCTCAGCCTCGTCACCCTTGGCATCTGGCTCCTGCCACCAGTCAGCATAGATACCCTCCTCGTAGTCACCCTCTCCCTCAAACTCAGTGTCAGTTGGAGGGTCTTCAGGCTTCATGGGTGATTCTGCCTCCTCTAGCTCCATCTAGAGCAGCCCCAGATTGGAAGAAACCAGGTTACAGCATCCCCAAAGCTCCTCCCTCCCCAGTGTCAAGACCTAACACGGGAATGACTGGAGAGTTTTTCCCAACTGCTCCTTATCCCAAAGCAACCCCTCCCTGAACCGATGCATGGGGCCCACCAGCAGAGACTCAGTGTTAGCAGATGCAGTGTCTTCCCCACAGTGCCCCTGCCTTTTAAGTATAAATACCTTGGAAAGAAGAATGCTATTCTGTGCACACCATTGTTCCTGCTGGTTTCCATGCTCCCCTGTACCTGCGTACCTCTTATACCCCCTCAAAGCCAAGAGTCAGCTCCAGGATGGAGGCCCCCATTGAGGACCCCAGTTGGGCCTGGGGCCCCACACTCACCCCTGTTTGATTTTCTTCCTCTCCCACTAGACCATGAGCTGTTTGGGAAAGGAACTGTGCCTTTCATCAACTTACCCCAGCCCTAAGCACAGTGTCTGGCAATCAACAAGCACCAAATAATAGTAATCAAAATGGCTACCATTCACTGAGCACCTACTGTGCACTGGCTGTATGCAAGATGCTTTACATACTTGATCTAATTTAATTTTCATCACAGCAACTGGGTGAGATGGACATTTTGACGAAGGAAGAGACAGAAGTTCGGAGAAGTTCTTGAAGACTTGCCTGGAGGCCACACAACTGCTAAGTGGTGCAGCCGGGTCTGGCTAGGACCAGAGGCTGAGAGCTACAGTTATGGACCTGGCCCCCATGTTTGATGAGAAGGCTATGGATGGATGGTCTCAGGAGGAGGGAATGAATTAATAACCACTGAGCAAGAGCCCTCAGAGAAATCTGGGCTCTCAAACCCTCATCCATCCATTCATCCATTCACTTATTTATCCACACTCAGTTTCTAAGCACAAGCTCTGTGCCAGATGCTGTGGGAGAGCTGGGAATAAACAGGTCTCCATCCTGTCCTGGAGTCTGATCCCCCAGGAGACTGGTGGAAAAGGGGGCTAAGGTTGAGATGCAAGTAACTACAAGTCTGGGCCACAGGTGATCAGGAAGACTTGGAGGTCAGAGTTGGCTCTCCCATAGGAGAGAGCCAAGGCATGAAGCAAGGGCTTCCTGGGGGAGCTGCCAGGACTCAGACATGTGGAGAAGAGGGAGGGGAGGCATGAGAACACTGAGCCAGGACAGAAGGGATGATCTAAGTAAGGGACAGGCAACCCTCTTGTGCTTCACAACAACTGACCACCGAGGGTGGGGCTGACCTTTTGCACAGAGGCCCAGGGCAAAGGCCCAAGGCATCCTTCACCATGGCCTAGGCCTGGAGGACAGCGGCCACTCACCTCATCATCTGACTGCAAGTACATGTGCGCAAACTCCAGCAGCTCCTGCAGCTCAGCAGTCTGGTTGTGGTAGAGCATGGCCTCCTGGGAAAAGCAGGGGTGGAGAGGGTGAGCCAGACTCTGCTGCCAGTGCAGGGTGGGAGGATGGTAGGGACAGCCAGGTCCCCTAGAATCTACATCCCCTTTCCCTTTTCCAGCTCAAGGAGCAGGGAACCGGTTTCAGCTCACATGATAATCAAAACATTGTAGCAGTTTAGAGTGCTTGGTTGAGGATTCCAAGAGTTCAGTGAGCAAGAGTGCCTCAATCAATTAGTGATGTCTGCCACTGACAAGGAAAGTGGATATGGCACCATGTGCACCTTATTTGCCAGCCTTGTCCTAGACTCCAAGGGGCCCAACTAGGGTTCCCCTGGGGAAGAAGTACAAAGGCCAGAGGTGAAAATGATGAAGGTGGGGAGGGTGGTGGTAAGAATGGACATCTATTGGGTACTTCCCACAACCTGGGCTCTGAGCTGGTAAGGTAGTACAAACCACACTTTGCAGATGAGATAACAGATTCAGAGAGGGTCAATGACATTCCCAGGACCACAGAGCTGGTAGCGATGGGATCTGAACCAAAACCCATACTCTTTCCCCTTCCCACCCAGCCTCCCAAGGAGGCAAGCTCTGGCCGAGCATTTTTATCAAGCCATATGCTCTCGGAAGTGCCTCAGAAGGCAGTGCCCACCTCCCGGGGCTGGAAGTCCTCCTCCTCCAGCCCCCAGCGAGCCCGGTGGAAGCGGTAATACACCAGGTTTTGCTGCATGACGCTGTCTTCAGGGTCGAAGAGCATGTAGCTCGCAGCACTGCGGGCAGCCTGGCGCACATCGTTCACTGCCGATGGGGAGGGATGGGGGTCACTTCTTCACATTCAGGGACAACCTCCCCAAGTCCACCCCAACCACCTCCCCATTTAGTCCAGTGCTCCTCAACCCACCTGATAACAAAAACACAAACTAACAAGTACTGGAGACTTGCCATATGCCAGGTAACTCATTTCAACCTCATTGTTAATATCATCCCTATTTCACAGAGAAGAAACCTGAGGCCCGGAGAGGTTAGGTAACCTGCCCAAACTCACGCAAGTACAGAATGATGGCACTGGGGAATCAGAACCTGGCAGCCTGGCTCTCAACCCCTTTGCCACCTGACCCCATGAAGGGTCTCCCTGGCCCCTTTGTCCTCAGCTCCTTCACTCCAACTCCAGCCTCTGTCTGAATTTTGGCCTTTCCTTGGAGGTCATCCATCCCAGCCAGGATTTGCCTCCAGTAAGGAGATCCATAGTCTTGGCCGCAAGTCCTGGTGCTATTTTTTTATTAGCCATGTGACTTGGAGTCAGCCCCTTGCCCTCTATGAGCCTTATCTGAAAAATGGGTCCATTTTTCCTAATACCACCTGCACAGAGTTGTTGAAAGAATCAAGTGAGATAAAAACATGCGGCAGATGCTGTGCCCTCTAATTTTCTCCTGACGCTGCTCTCTGTCCCCACCCAGAAGCCTCTCACCTGCCCAAGGTCCCCAGGGTTCTTTTCCGATATCCCTCCATCCTCAACTTCTATCTCATTACCTTGGGTCCTCAATTCTGAGGGACAGCTCCCTGTAACCCTGTGAGGCTCCCGATACAGTCCTCTCCCTCACCCCTTCCTCCCCCGTCCAAGCCCACCCAGGAGGCTCACACTTATAGTAGGCAAACTGCAGGTAGTGGTACATGGTGGCCACGAACTTTTCCACGAAGTAGCCACCCACATTGGGGGTCAGGTTGGCCTCACAGTCCACCTTGCACTGCAGGGATTCTGCAAAGAGATCTGGGAGTGGGAGGCAGCAGTGAGGAGCTGATGTGCTTAACAACTCAACCCCACTGATGGAGATGACCTCACATCCCAACTTTGCCAACTGAGCCTCAGTCTCCTTGTCCAGAAAATGGGTTGTTTCGATGAAATGATACAATACGTAAAGTGCTTGATGTAAGTGACACTGAGGATGCTTACTGTGGGCTGGTCACATCTTCCAGGCTGACTTACCATCCCTAGTTCAACTGCACCAAAGTCAGAGGGACCAGGGTGGGGCCTCTGGGAGAGTGGCAGGGGGAGTTTAAGGCGGGACTGAAGCCAAACAGAAGTTGAGGACGGGTGCCCTTTGAAGGTTAGAGATCCTGAGATTGGATGCAGTTTCTGGCCACGCTAACAAACTGTAACCTGTATACTTACACCTGCCGTGCTGTTTCCCACCTCAGCACCTTCGCACTTGCATAGCCCTCTACCTGAAAGGCCTGCGAATCTACCATTCCTAGACCCTTCTGGAATGTCACCACCTGTCAGCGCTGATGCCTGCACCTTGGACACACCCAAACGTAGCCTCTACATCCAGTGTCAGGGTGGCTACACACCTGGGTCTATCAGCAGACTGAGGACTCTGGGAAGCCCACTGTGCTCCCCACTTGGTGTCTGATGGGGGCGCTCGGGCTGCATGGGTGGTATTGCCTCTAGAGGGCGCCACAATCAGGGGCCTGGGGGAGGAATACCTGCTATGGCTGGGTAGAAGTCCTTGAAGTCCACCTGCTCCTGGGCCCCCTCGCAGCCTGCCAGACACCGGGCAAAGACCGCTAGGTACTCAGCTAGGGCCCGCTCCATGTCCTCGGTGCTGCTGCGGAAATCCCCGCTGTTGTAGAGTTTCACGGCCCGGAGGAACACGGCCTGGGAGAAAGAGTGGCAGGCGGGGGTAAGGGACCTCAACTCCTCCCCTCTTCTGCACGCGAGGGTCAAGGAGGAGTGTCAGGACCAGCTCTTCTCCGATGCCTGTCCACCCCACCTCGTAGGGCTGAGCCTCCAGGTCCGTAAGGGGCTCCTCTGCAGCGTCCAGCAGCCCCCGGTAGTAGTTGAGATACTTGGCTGTTAGCTCGTGCTTAGGATTCCGCTGGAGGAAAGTATAAGCCGCTGACACCGCCTTCTCCAGCCGGTTAGCCTGGGGGGGGGGGACGGACCAGAGGATCAATAAGACCAGAGCCCGCAGCCCTGAACGCACAAGGTACTTCGTGCACCAGAGAAGAGCCACGCTTCTCCCGCCGGGTCTGAACGCCCGACGCCAGGCTGAGGCGCGCAGAGCGGCGGGGCCCGAGGGCGGAAGCCGGGACGAGCGGGAGGCCCACCTTGAACAGCGCGTAGTGCAGGTACTGGTAGGGCATGCGGTTCTGGAAATCGTGCAGTAGTTGCCGCGGCGGGTAGGGCATCTGGAAGGCGGGGAGTGTCCGCTTGCAGCGCCGCAGGCACGCAGCGCGCTCCAGGACCTGGCCGAAGAGCCACAGCTCGCGGGCCCACTCTTCGCCGCTCTCGCCGTCGGGGCCGGGCGCGGGGTGCGAGGCCCCGGGCTGTGCTGGGCGGCTGCAGTTGGCGTGACAGAAGGCCTCGCTGTCCCGCAGCAGCCGGTGCAGCCGCAGCGCCGCCTCCAGGTAGCGTGCGCTCTCACGCCAGCTCTCGCCCTCGTACTGCTCCAGCGCGTGCCCGTAGGCCGCGGCCAGCGGCATCAGGTCCTCCGGCGGGAAGCCCCGGAAGCTGTACTTCTCATACTGAGCCCTGACGCTGCCCAGGAGCAGCCACAGCAACCCGCACGCTGCCCACCCCATACCCTCTCCGCTCCGCTGGCTCTCAGACCGAGAGGGTGGCTGGCGGGACTTGAGGGCGCAGGGCAGCGCCGGCGCGCCTGCTGGGTCTTAGCGCCCGCACCAAAAGGAGGAGGCGGGGGAGTTGCCTGGGTTAGGTCACCATAGTGGCTGAGTGCTGCCCGCCCCCTCTTCTTGAGAGAGTCCCTAAGTAGGCCTGATTCTTTGCCCGGGCCTTGAGGATCTTTGACCCCATGACAAATGATAACTGAGTGGGTGGGTGGGTGGGTGGGGAGAACGTTTCACGCCAGAGATGGAGAGCCCAGAAAGCCCCTCCCTACACAAAGACAATCCTCCCACTTAAGAAATTGAGGGAGCTGCCACGTCCCCCTACTCAGACCACGCTGCGGGTGAAGGCCAGGGTCCTGGTATTCCCTCACAAGGGCCCTTCTGCACGCTCCCCACCCGCCGCCCTGACGAGATCACCCTGAGTGTTCCCGGGGCCCACTTTGGGGAGGCTCATACCTCGTTCACCCGCACACCCTCCACTCTCACTGCGGCTCAATCCCCAGGTCACAGAGTCCTCGTGGGCCAGCTTTTAAAGGGTGGACAAAGCCGCTCTTCCCTGGAGAAGCCTTCCACTGGAGGACTTGAGGGGTGGGGGAAGCACTGAGGTACCCCTTCAATTCTGGGGCCTCGCCGCCCACCTGGAAAGGCCTAGCTTTAGGGGTGACAGCCAGGAAGCAAGGAATGCCTAAGGCCGGCTTTAGGACCCGGGGGCTCCGAAATAAGACACTGAAAGTTTTTGGTTTTTTTTTTTTCTTTTTTCTGGAGTTAGCTCAGACTTCCCATCTTTCCCGAACATCCTTTCCCCGCCAGGCCCCAGGTCCCTCGGCACTGGGTGGGGGTGGCGGAGGGAGACCCCGAGTTCTTTGTGGTGTATTTCTGGGTCTCTAACACGCTCAGCCTTGCCCCCTTCTACTACCCCCTCCCCGCCGGCCAGCTCAGAGTTCCCAGCCCCCATTCCACGTGGACCAGCCGGGGCGGGGTGGGAGGGAGGACAGGAAGTGGGGGAGCTGGCTCTCGGAGGAGGAGGGGGGAAGGAGGTTGGCGGCGATAGCTCCCTCGCTCGTCCTCACTGCTGGCCATCCCAGCTCCAGGCACCATGTTCCCCGCAGGCCCCCCCAGCCACACCCTCCGCCAGCTCCCCCTGCTGCCGTTGCTGCTGCTGGTGGTGCAGGCCGTGGGGAGGGGGCTGGGCCTCGCCAGCCCGGCCGGGGGCCCCCTGGAAGATGTGGTCATCGAGAGGTACCACATCCCCAAGACCTGTCCCCGGGAGGTGCAGATGGGGGACTTTGTGCGGTACCACTACAACGGCACTTTCGAAGACGGCAAGAAGTTTGACTCAAGGTAATAATGTGGGCGCCCTTAGACTGGCCACTCTCCTTCCCTGAGCCCCAGGTCAGGCTCTCTTCGGTCCTGGGGTCCCCTGTTGCCCCTTTGAAGATCTGCATTCAGGTACTCACTCCGTGATCCCCTGACACCAGCACAGCACCCTCGGGGGCTCCCAGACACCCATCTCCCCAAAGACACCCCCCTGCCCCCAATTACAAACCTTCACCTCTCAAACGACCCCGCATCCCAGAGCACTTCTTGATAATCAAAGTGACTGCTCTGTTCACTTACCCATCGCTTTATTTAAGGCAGGAGGCGGGCAGGGCTCTCCTCTACAGTGTTGGGAGGAAGGGGATGGTGCCTGCTGCGTGAGAATTCTGGGGTGACCTCAGCCTGGGACCCCCTGCCTTCCACTACTCTGACTCCCTTTATGGATCCTGTCTGGTTTCAGTACTTTCACAATGGGAGAAGAGAGAGAACTTTGGCGGGATGGAGGCTCTCAGCAGCTGGTCAGGGCAAAGCAGAGAGGTACAACAAGACAGTAAGATGGATTTAGAGGGTGAGGCATAGCTGGGTGCAGGCGTCCATGATTGAACCTGTCACCCTGGGCTCTTTGGAGGGTTTTTATGTCTCCTTCTCTTGGTCCTGCGGACGGTCTGCCCTCCCTCACTCCTCCCTCTCTTTCTCCCTCCATCTTAGCTCTACCAGGTCAGTGCCGCCCATCTTGCTAACCTTGGGGTTTGATAGACAGACCTCTGGCCGCACCAGGCCTCTAGTTCCCTCCCGGCAAGTCCTCTTTAGTTGGTGTGGGCAGGACAGAGCTGTACACTCACCTCAGGGCAACTGTGGGTGCTTGTTACACACACAGACCCCATGTCACACCCCAAGCAATCAGTACCTCTTAGACCCTCCCTCACGGTATAGCTCATTAGTGAACGTGACTTTGGACACATGCAGCATATTGGGAAAGAACAGAAACTCTAAAGGCCAAGATCCTGGGTTCAAACCCACTCTGTGATTATGGACAAGTATGTTGCCCCTTTAAACTTCACTTTCCTCATCTGGAAAATGGAGATAAAAACAGTGTCTACCGCCTAAGGCTTACACAAGATGATGACTGTAATTGCATCAAACTGAAAACCACCCAAATACCCATTGACAGTTGAATAGATAAATAAAGAATGGTCTATTCACACAATGGAATTCTATACAGCAATGAGAAGGACAACTTAAATGAATCCCACAAACATAGTATTAGTTAAAGAAGCCAGAAGGCAAAGAGCATATACTGCATGATTTGGAAACAGGCAAAACTAAGCTATAGTGATAGAGGCAGGAAAATGGTTGCCCTTGGTAGGAGGTAGTGGGTAGAAGAGGCTTCTGGGATGCTGGCAGTGTTCTTTTCGCCATGGTGGTTGCAATGGCTGTGTCTGGTTTGTGAAAATTCGGTGAGCTGTGTATGTACACTTTTTGTAGGCATATATGTATATTTATATATATGTCTATAAAGATGATGAATGAGAAAGTGAGGTTCAGACAGTGCCTGGCAGTCTGCAGTTTCGATACATATTAGCCTTGGGTGGAACCTGAAAAATTTTAACCTTTAGAAATTTGTGCAGTGCTCACTGCAGCCCTGTGAAGGAAGCAGGCCAGAGGTAAAACCAGCTCATTGGTAGAGGTACATGAGGTTTAGGCAGCAGCCAAGGATGCAGAGGTTAAGAGCTGCTAACTGAAAGGTTGGAGGTTTGAACCCACCAGCCTCTCTGTGGGAGAATGATGTGGCAGTCTACTTTTGTAAAGATGACAGCCTTGGAAACCATGGACAGTTCTACTCTGGCCTGTAGGGTCTCTATGACTCAGAAGCCAAGCCACTTGATGGCAGCAGGTTTGGTTTTTTGGTAGGTGGTGACTCAAAACAACCCCTCCTTGGGTTTCCGAGGCAGTATCACTGTGGAAATAGATTGCCCAACCTTCCTTCTGAGGAGTGGCTGGTGGGTTTTTGGGTTTGAACCACCAGCCTTCTGGTTAGCAGTTAAGTGCCTTAGGTACTACGCTACCAGAGCTCCTTTGGTAGGTGGTAGCTAGGGGTATATGTAGGCATAGTCCTTGACCTCTATGAATGAGACCAGTTGGGGGATGATCCTAGGGGAACTCTGGGAGCCTGGCTGGCCCAGGTTCTTGCAGTGTTGAGCTTGGAAGACTTTCTTCACGCATGACCCTCTTCGATAAAAATTAAAATCTTCCCACTCTTCCTTAAGTTCTGGAAAATTAAAAATGTAACTCATAATAAATAAAAGCTAGAGGCGGGGCAAGATGGCGGACTAGGCAGAAGGATTGCACAGACCCTCTTCAACAAAGAAAAGGGAAACCAATTAACACAGACACAGAAGATAATCT